TGGGTNTGCGCTTCGATTTGACAGAAAATCTCTAAATATATGATATAAATTTGTAGGTAGATCGAAAAAGCGTAATTTTTCCAGTATCAAATCAAAGCGAGCTGATGGAAAAGCATTTGATAGATCGAGAAAAACCAGAATCATATGTTCTTTTTCATGTCGACACATTTCAATCTTATCAACTACGAATTTAATTGCTTCAACAGCAGATCTATTAGGAACATAGGCATATTGTTTGTTAGATAATATATTTTTTGATAGAATGAAGTGCGAAAGACGCTGGGTAATTAAATTTTCAAAAACCTTTCCCAATGTAGATAATAAAGATAACGGTCGAAAAGATTTGTATGTTTGATCGTTGTTGTTTTTCGGAATAATTTTGATAAAAGCTTCCTTCCAAATATTCGGAAAAATCGACACTGAGAAAAGTTTATTGAAAATCAATTTAAACAAATTAGGAACAGCAAGGTGAATATGTTTAATTATATTTGCAGATAAACCATCTGTTCCAGGGGCCTTTGTATCACTTTCGGCAGCAATTGCCCGATTTGTTTCAGATGAAGTGAAAAAAGGTTCATTCATTTCATTTCTTGATTTATAATTGCAGTGAATGTCACTGAATAGATCGACCTCCATATCCACAACAAATTTATCTATTAAAAATTTCGCACTTTCTAATGCCGAACTAGTATAAACATCATTATCCATTTTTATCGTATTGATGGTTGGATTACGATTTTTGTTTTTCAAATTTATGAAGACATTTTTCCAAACTGATTCTTTGGTATTTGACGAAAAGAATTTTTTACATTGATCGAATTTCGTTTTCTTGATTTCTTCCTTCAGGTGTTTTACTGAATCAATATATTTATTTCGCCAAATTTCCTTCAAAATGACACATTTTTGTCTTTGGAATCTTCTTCGAAAATTATTCATTTTGTTTGTTAGCTTTTGTATATGCCGATTAAATTTCGGTTTATTTGCATTATGACATATTTTTGGTAACGTTTTATCACAAATCAAATGAATGCAATCAACAAAGTCCATAACGAGTACTTCTGTTTCAATTTTTTCTGAGACATTCTGAAATTTATTTATAAATGGTGTAATTGATTTAGAACAAGAATTTTCAAAAGGTAGCCAATCAATATTTTTTGTGACATATTTTCTAGTTGATGAACATTTATCATTAAAGGAATTGAAACCGATATCAAAGGCAATCAGCTTGTGATCTGAACCAGATTCTATATCAACGGTTCTCCAATTCGATGTCAAAGGTAGAGCATTATGATTGATTATTGTAATGTCGATATGGCTGGTGCCTTGATGATTTTCAAACGTAAAAGAACCATCATTCATAACAAAAAGATTATCACGAATAACCATTTCAATAATAGCATCACCTCTATTATCAACATTTGAACTGCCCCAAATTGGATGATGCGAGTTGAAATCCCCTGTAACAATAATTGGATAATGAGACATTTCATTGAATAAATTACTAATTAAGTCTACTTCTGCATTGAAAAGAGCATGATCAATATTTCTAGATAGGTAAACAGAAGATAAGATGATAGGATTATTTGTATTTATCATTACTGTGGTACAATGCGATGTAGTGAATTGAGATAGACCAATGATATTATTTAATGAAGAGACAATGGCACTTCTTGGTTTCTCTTTATGGTTAAAAATATTCATTTTTGGAAAACCATTTATGGTTGAATTATAATAATTGGGCTCTTGGACACATAAAATACTTGCACCAAGATGTTGAACATTACAGTTTAAAATTGATGATGATATAACACTATTTCTAACATTTTGAGACACAATAATAAATTTGTTTTCATCCTTCATAATTAATTCTTTTCGCCATTTCATTTAACAAAACACAATAGGTTGGGCAAGATTTACTTAAAGCATTATGATTCGTATCAATCCAGTTAGATGATTTTTCCAATGAATTTTTAAAAAGACAATTTACGCATGAGGTATAAGTTTTCTTACAATTTGAACCATAATGATCGTGACCACCACATTTATTACACGTCAGATTATTTGAACAATCAACAGATTTGTGTCCAAATCTCAGGCAGCGGTAACATTGAGTAATAGAAATATAATTTTGAATGTGACAAGCATTATAGCCAATGAAAATTCTCTTTTCATCAATACATAATTTCCATAATTTTGGTGTAACTTTTAATATGGCAAATTGTTGCCCATTTCTATCTTTTTTCATGAATAAGATTTCAAAAGTTTCATTTTGATTTTCAATCATTAATCGAAATTTATCATTTTGATTAATTAAGCAATCCGTGAAGTCACTTTTAGATAGCGTAGAATCAATACCAAAGATAATCATTCTCGGAGAATGCTTACTAGGATTTGTCGAAAGCAGACCACAATTAGAATCATTCACTAGTTTATTTAATTTTTGGGAACTTTCTTTCGAACCACAGTTAATCAATATTTTATTTCTTGTCTTGATCTTATTCAAAATAGATATTTTATTCATTGCCAGTGTCTTATGGTCTATTTTTTCTGTAAGGATGTTTAAAGCCTGATTCATATCCTTAATTTCGGCACATGATGTTTTCACAATACATAAATGATTTGCGTTGATTTTGTCTTGTTTTTTGTTCACAACTTGGATTATTGGCTTTCTTTTTGGCTGATTAATATGTTCAATGTTCAATTTGCCATTTATCGCGACCAAAAAATTATCCATTTCTTTTTTGATATTATTATGGTAATTTTTCATGATAGATAATTCATTTTTCAGAACCTTACATTCTTTTTTGGTTTCAATAAGAGTTTTTCTATATGTTGACACTAGTAATTCACTGTTACGTAATTTGTTATGCAATGACATGCAGGATGCTGAAGCAGAAGAAGTTGGTGAACATAAAGATTGATTATCATTTCTTTGTTTTTCAATAATTTTTTGGCATTCGTTCAATTCATTCTCGTATCCAATTGAACAATTTTCGATATGAGATGCCATAAATAATAAAATTTGCCTGAAATTTGTAATTCTTGTGTTACCATGTGATTGGGCGATTTTTACCAGAATTTTTGAACAATCGAATAAATTTTTCACTTCTTCTTTTTTGAAAACTCTTTTTGAATTCGTTATTCTGCTGTTTGCCGCCATAAATGAATTCAATTATTAAAAATAAATATATATATAAAAAAAAAGGAGAAAAAAAAACAAACACAGAGCAAAAAAAAAAATCACACGTCTTAACTCGACAGATGTCAGATGAGACCAAATAGGACTTCATTAAAGTTTAATGCCCAAAAGACAAAAGCGATGATCATTTCATCTAAAAGAAATATTGATCAACAACAAATTGTNATGTTTTTAATATGATGCTTATTTCATGTGTGTGTGGTGTTTATGTGAAAAATGAAAGGATTTTCTCTTTCTCTTTTTTCCCCCGTAAAAAGAACATTGTAAAAATGGAAAATTCTGAAAATTGAAAATGGAAATTCTTTTTCATTTTTTTTTTGGCTGTATTCGTTGACTATGACAAACATAATATAACCACACAAACACACCGAATGGATCATTCGGGATATTTTTCGTTTGTTTGTTTGTTTGAAATGGATGCCCAAAAAAAAGCCAGAAAGAATCCTCATCATCATTATAAATCCGTGTGTGTGGTTGAATGATGGAAAATAATAAACTTTCATCATCATCATAATAAACATGGATGAGAATATTTCCTATATTTACATTTTACATTATTTCAGTTGTGTGGGCGTCATTTTTGGCTTCACCAAAAGGCTTATGGATGATGATGATAATCATCAGCAGCAGAATTGTAGCAATTGGAAAAAAATAGGTTTCGATTTTTTTTGTTTGAAACTTTTTTTCTCCCATGTTCATTTCATTTCCCTGGCCTTTTCGATTTCAGTTTTAATCCAAATGAAAAACATAAACTTTTTTTTGGCTTTTTTCTGATGAAAAAACTTCATTCGAAATAAAAAAAATTTTTTGAACAAATTTGTTTTTGAATGAAAAATTTGATTCAAATACTCTCTACCCCTCGGTTTCTCCCCCATCTTCCCCCATGGGAAATAACAATTATTATTGTCAAATGGAAAATAATTTGGTTGTTTTTGGTTGTAAATTTAGAGATTTTTTTTGGTTCCCAGAAAAAAGCAAAAAACAATGTTTTGAGAATTGCCACCAGAATATTCTCTACACACACACTTTTCAATTCTGGTGAATCAGAATTATTGTTATTATTGTTGTTGTTGGCTAAAATTTTTTTCTTCAAAAATAGAAAAATATCGACAGCTGATGTCGATACTATGATGATGATGATTATGATGAAAAGTAGTGAAAAGCCCGAAAAGAAAACAACAATAAAATATAATGATAATAAAAAAAATGTAAAAAAAAACTTTATTTTTCTTCCTTTTAAAGAAAAAGAAAAGAAATCAAACTGCCAATCAGTGTAGGCAAAAGAATATTACATTCATTCTTACGTTGTTTTCCCCGATACACAAAGGACGGAAACGGAAAAAATTAATGACTGACAAACAGCAGCTTGTCTTGTTTTTTTTTTTGTGAGTCCAAAACATTTTTTTGAAAAAAAAGTGGACAAATTTTCATTTTTTTTGAAATGAAAAATATTTTAATAATAACAATAAAAAAAAACTAAAGCAGAAAACAAAAATCAACACATTTTTGTTTACGAATTCCTAACTTGGTACACCGAATTTTGACCGAAAACTGAATTGAACAAAACTTTTTTTTTTCGTTTTTGTTTTGTAAAGAAAATTTACTTTTGTTGTGTTCAATCTTCTGCTTGGCTTGGCACTTTTTTGTTGTTGTCTACTTTACCCCCCAACCAACAAAAAAACATCTTGAAATTGTGTTTGTTTGCAATTGAATGGATCGATTCTTTTTGGCTTCTGAATTCTGATTTTTTCTTGTTTTTTTTTTTGTTCCAACCCTGATCTCTCTTTCTCTCTCACTGTAGACTAAATATGATGATATCAACACAACCATTTGGTTTTCATTTGATCAATTTATTTCTACATATAATTGTTAGCCTATTGGTTTTTATTATTGGTCATCGAATTCTTTTATTTGATATTCACATTGCCACTATTGCTGGTTTATTGTTTGCCATACATCCAATTCATACTGAAGCTATTGTTAGTATTGTTGGTCGTGCTGATTTACTTTGTGCATTATTCTATTTGTTGGCATTTTTATCATTTCATTTGTAAGTTGTTTATTTTATTTTATTGATTGATTGATTGTAACATTTGCTCATTTGCTTATCTGCAAACTAAAGATCATTACCACCATTACGCAATCATCAATCGTCATCTACCTCATCATCATCATCATCAACATTATCTTTATTATGGCTAATACCATTTGTTTTATCAACAACAATGGCCTTATTATCAAAAGAAATTGGTATCACTATAATTGGTGTTTGTGCCTTTTATTGGTTATGTTATATGTTAATTGCTTTTAAATATTATCATTATCAATGGCTATATTTTTTTGATCGACAATTCTGGATACCAATTATTACAACAATATTGAGCGTAAGTAAATTGAATCATTTTAAATCACTTAGTTTTTAAATTAACAATTAACTTTTTTGAGAAACAGTTTTTCATATTAATGATTATTCGTTTGCGAATGTTGGGTGATAATTGGCCTTTATTTTCCGAACAGGATAATCCTACATCATATTCACGTTCAATGCTTACAAGGTTTTTTTTCCATCATCTTTTTGTTTCTATTTTTCCTTTTCTTATAATATTTTTTTTTGCCATTTAATTAACCTAAATATAGAATATTAACTTATTGCTATATATCTGCCTATAATATTCGATTATTATTGAATCCAACTAATCAATCATATGATTGGCAAACAAGTACAATACGTTTGATCAATTCATTGAATGATCAACGTAATTTATGGACATTAACAATATTGATCATGTCTATATTATTATTATATTGTTCAATAACTAAATTATTATGGTCCAATCATCATTCACATCATCCGATTGAAACTAGTATCCAATTGGCAGGAAATGGAAAAATTTCCGCAAATAATAATGATGATGATGGTAAAACATTATTCATAGCAATCATAATGTTGATTATACCATATTTGCCTGCAAGCAATCTATTCATTACAGTTGGTTTTGTTATTGCTGAACGATTGCTTTATGTTCCAAGGTAATGATATTTCCTATCCAAAAAAAAAGCTTATGATCGTGACAATTTGTAATTGATGATTGATTCCACCTGGCCATATTCCAATTTTTATTTCTATTTTTTTTATAGCATCGGTTTCATTTTTATCATTTGCTACGGTATTCAACAATTACGACGACAATTCCATAAATATCATCGTTATATAAATCTAATGATATTAATATTGATGGCCGTTTTTTTAATCAAAACTTTCAAACAAAATCAAGTATGGTCATCAAGAGAAACATTGTATAAGTAAGTTTCACATTTTTTTTCAATCATTATTATTATTATTTCACCAATATCATCATCACCACCAAATAATATTTACACAAAAAATATCCGGATTCACAATTTGAAGAAGAAGAAAAAAAAACAAATTCCGGGGTTAAAATGAAAAAAGTAAACATCAGGAATTTTTTTTTCTTTTTTGAGCAAATATTTCACTTTTAGCTAAAATTCAATATATAAAAAAAAATTTTTGCCACCGAGAGAGAAAAATTCAACTGAATTACCCAATTTTTTTTGGGGATCCACAAAAAAATACTTTTTTCTTCTACTTTTGGTGGTGATGGTGGTGGTCACAGATATTCTTTACACAGACACTGAATCAATACACACCGCACACTAAAACCGACGCCCATAAATCGAATTAGATTCACGCAATCATTATATTTTCTAATAATAATGATTTTTTTTTCATTTCTTTTCCTTTTTTTCATTTCTTTCTTTTTTCGTTCGTTCAAATCTAGATCTGGCATTATAAATGTACCCGAAAATGCTAAAGCCCATTATAATTATGGCAATTTACAACAAGATTTAGGAAATTGGAATGATGCCATCGAACATTATCAGACAGCTATCAGGTAATACAATTGTTTAAATAATAATAATGACAATTTGTCTTGGTTTTGGTTTCTCCCAAACCACACCAATCATGGGATCCTATTCTGGATCTCTGATAGAAATGATAATTGTTTCAATTTTTCAAATGTCTTTTTATTTTCATTTCCATTTTCCATACATCCATTCCTTTTTTTCATTTCAATAGATTATGGCCTGATCATGCAAGTGCACATAATAATCTTGGTGCATTATATTGGAAAATATCATCACCGGATCTTGCTGAACAACATTTTCAACAAGCATTGATTATTAATCCATATCATGCAAAAGCATATTTTAATTTGGCCAAAGTATATAGGTAATAAATCAATGTAATAAATCTAAATAATGTCCAGTTTTTGTTGTTGTTGATAAACTTTCAATCTATAAATTTTGAATTCAAAAAAAAAGATTAAACATCTCAAACAATTAGTTTGTTTTGGAGAAAATAGTTTCGAAATCATCTTTTTTTTCTCATTGATTCATAACTCTGATGATGATTTCGAAATTTCGAAACCAAACAACAAAAACAAACAAACAAACAAAGCATATTTTGCATGATAAGATGATCTTCATTGATTCGTTCGAATTGCAATTTGATCGAACCTTAAAAATGAAACGAAACGAAAAGATTGGTTGCCAAGTCAGCACAAACATAAAAAAAAATTCCAACTAACAAAATGAAAGAATCTAAATGATTCTCCATTCATATTCATTTGTTTTTTTTGTTCATCATTATGGTCTTTTCATTTCACTTCTTTTTTCTATTTCTATGATCAGCAATGATGGATTATTATAATCATCATAATCATAACCAGTAATATTAATATTATTAATGATGATGATGACCCAATTCAAACATCAGATATCGATCGTAAAGTGATGTTTTGTTTTCTACTTGTTTTTGTTCGTTTGTTTGTTTTGGCTGCCGGAATCAGCAAAGATCAATTGCTGATTGATAATAATGATTATTCAGATAGAAAGAGAAAAGAAAATGTTCAAACATGATTTTTTTTGATTGGTCCTTAATTTTTGTTTTTTTACTTTCAACTACCATCATCATTCTAATCGATATCCATTATGATCAAACCATTCAAGAATATCTTCTTTGGGATGAAAATCCTTTTTTTGATTGTTTGAATTTGATTTCGAAACCAAAAAAATTCAAACAACGGCAAAAGAAAAAAACTTTAAATCTAAAATCAAAAAAAAAAGAAAGAAAAAGAAATGAGAATCGTTTGAAATTTAAAAATAAAAATGCATTTTACTTTTAATTTTACTTTACTTACTCTTTACTTACCCGACTAATTCCAGGAAAGAAACCGAAAAGTCAGACGGAATGATTTTTCGTTTTTTCTTCTTTCGCAAACACGATAAACAGAACTGAATGAAGCAAGAATCATAGAATCACATATAAATGTAAATCAGAATTTTCTTTTTCTTTTTTTTTGTCATCATCATTATTCTGTTCTGTTCAAAATTTTTTTTATTATTATTTTTATTGTTCATTGCAGTCTGAAAATGGTATAGTAAGTCAGGCAGGCAGGCAGGCAGGCAGTTGTCATATGAGAAATAAAATAAGATTATTATTTGGGTTCTGAATCATCATCATGAATTTCTTCTTTGGTTGCTGCTGATGTTTTTTACTAAATCAATTCGAGATGGATGTTTATTGTTGAAAATTTTTTTTGTTTCCAGAATTTTGTTGTTGTTGGAGAGAGAGTCCAAGCCTAAAATGAATTTCGAAATTCACAATCGGGGACTTTATTTATGTGTTTTTTTTTTGTTCAACTATCATTCAGTAGCCAATAATAATAATAATGTGTGTGTGGATCAATGAACTTGATTTTATTATCTAAGTCCGCATCATCATCGGAAGAGAGAGAGAGAGAGAGAGAGAGAGAGAGAGAGAAAGGTCAAATGTCAATAATAATATTATGTTTTTTTTTTCAGTATAATA